GCGTGTGTGTGTGTGTGTGTGTGTGTGTGTGTGTGTGTGTGTGTGTGTGTGTGTGTGAGAGAGAGAGAGAAGGCCAGGAGTGGTTGTTCTCTCAGCAAAGCAGTGTAAAAGGCACCCCGGGTTGGAGAATTGAGGGGACACAGCTGTCCATTAATCCAGAATATACCTGGGAATGTCACATTGGGAGGTAATCGTCCCATGCTACTCAGCTCTGGTGAGACCTCAGCTAGAGTACTGTTTCTAGTTTTGGGCCCTACACTTTAAGAAAGATGTTGACAAACTGGTATGTGTCCAAAGGAGGGCAACAAAAATAAGATTGAGAAAACATGACATGGGGGGAGGGTTAAAAAAATTGGATATTTTTAGTCCTGAGAGAAGAAGACTGAGGGGGAACCTGATAATCTTCAAATATGTTAAAGGCTGTTATTAAGAGCAATGGTGAAGGTAGGACAAGAAATAATGAGCTTAAACGGCAGCAAGAGAGATTTACATTAGGTATTAGGAAAAACTTTCTAACTCTAAAACTAGTTAAATACTGGAATAGGCTTCCAAGGAAGGTAGCGGAATCCTCGTCAATGGAGGATTTTAAAAACAGGTTGGACAAATCCAGTCAGTGATGCGTTAGGTATACATGATCCTGCCTCAGCACAGGGTAGATGACCTGTCAAGGTCCCTTGCAGACCTACATTTCTATGATTCTATGCCACGTTTCTCATAAATATTAAGTGCATAGATACAACTGTGACAATAATATGCTTTTGAAGGGGGAAGGCAATGATTACGTTTGCTGGCAAAAGCTAGTGACTGCACATATAGCTGCTGCTGGCTTCTGTTTGACCAGCCATTATCTTCAAAAATTGTTAAAATGTAGTTAGAGTATCAATTTCTAAGACAAAACTAAATTCCAAATGCATTTTTCACAGCTGCTTTTAAGTCAAGCTACAAAAGCGCTATCACACATTGATGTGTTAATCTTACCTTAAAAGAAATACTCACCAGAGAGAGAGTGAGAGCTTTTGTCAAATGAATTATTTATTAATCTATTTATAAAATAAAAGTGTAGGGGTTTAAAAAAAAACTCTTATCCCAGATAGGCTTGTAGACACTCAGCAAAATAACAGGGCACTGTGGAATTTTACAAGCAAATAGTCTAAAGCAAAAGTCCATTACCAGGATTTTTCCATTTCTTA